ATGTTCCAAAATTAAGAAACAACAATAAAGAGACCCCTCTAAAATTAGTCAACAGGATTTTGGTTAATACGAAAGTCATAAATAAGAAAAATGAAATGAAAAAGCAAGTCAAACAAGAAGCTATCACTGAACTCTGAAGAGCAAAAGCAGCCCCTTGGCCAGGTGGGTGACAAAAGCCCCCAAACTCTACAGTCTGCGAAATCAAACTGGATAAATAACTTTTCCTAGTGTGCACCATTTATGGGAGAATCGAGACTCCCACAGGCCTCCTCTGAAAAGCAACGTTCATCCCTGAGTCCCAGCACACTATTCATATCTCCTCCTGCTATCTGATTTTATTTCAGAATTTTAAGTCTTAGACGCCAAGAAAGTTCTGCCCGGGGAACAATATATATATATAAAAGGAAACACCTCTGAGCAAGGACTGTTTCCAATCACCTTCTAAATAAAAAAAGAGATAAGTCGGGCTGCATGGACACCCCACAGCCCGTGGAGGGTGGGTGTTCCAGCAAAGCCCCCCAGCCATTTAACGCAGACATCAACTGGTTATCTAGCTGAGTCTGATTTTTATATTCCTTAGATTTTATTGTGCCAGGAGCGGGGCCAACAAAAGATAAAGTGAAGCAAAAATGGAACAATTACGTTTGTAATTTCATCTGTGGGCTTCTTTTATGAGTAACCGCGTGCCCAATTTTGATCTCCAAGTCGTGTTACAGTAATAAAACCAAACTAACTCCCCTCCTGACGCCCACACACACACCCTACGCTACCTTGATAAAATGCAAACTTGGTTCATTACCGCCCTAATAGAGTCATTACCTCCGCCATGCTCTCCCAGGGGCTGCCAATCAGCAGGTCCAAAAAAAGATACAACGGGAGAAAGCGCCAAGAGTGATATGCCCTTTGGCCCACTTCAGTCCCTTTCGTCACAGAATTGGTCTGCTCCAAAAGCAAGGGGAGGAGACACAGACAGGAGAGCTTTCCCAAGGCCTGAGATTCGCTGACATGCGTGGAGTTATGATGTTGGGAGAGCAGCCGTGATGACAGACCACCCCACACTGCTCCTAGGATGTCCAGAGCAATCTAAGGGATAATCATCAACCTCCTGTGTGAGGGGAGAGGGCCCTGCCTGACGCACCACGCCGCAGTTAACAATATCGACTTGAGTTAACTGTGGGATCCCTTCCAGAAGGCTTCATTATCTATAGTATAACCACATTCCTCTTGTATTCAGCAGCCTCTTGTGTCTCGAACTCAAGTCCAATTCCAATTCTTGTTTGGAGCAAATTTAGGGAAAACGCCAAACTAACCAGATCACAGAGGACTTAATAGGGAACAACAGCTATATAACCCCAAGTCCCCTAGGCTGGGAAATATTTTGGGTGTCTGCTAACTTTCGGGAACGTGCAGGACAGTTGCGTCCAGTTTTTTAAACACGCACACACACCCACAGCACCCTGGTGTGCGCCTTCCATCGGCTGTAAACGTGTCATCCCACCTAACTAGTCATATTTCTTGGATGACATGTCACGAACAATAAAGGTCACCTCCAGTTCTTAATGTCTCGACATTCACAAATCAGTTTTCTCCACTCCAGCCTTAAACGCGTATTTGTTTTGGATGATCAGAAGATAAATGTTTCCTAAGGGCGTCATAGTGTATGAGACAAATATTTAACAAAACATCCTGAGGGCTTCAAATGAATGCCGTGGGCCTAAGATGCCACTGTCAATTCCATTTTTTTTAATTAGACAAATTCAGTGCTTGACATCGAGAAGGTGTAACAGCTAGTTTGTAGAGTAGAATTTTCACTTTTTAACTGGCTGCCTGACGCCATGAATAGGCAGCTAATAATTCAAATGCAAGCCTGCCCCCAAACCAGCAATGCACATACAAATGACTAAAATAAATATGATAAACTCTCCTTGTCGATATGACGTTTATGACCTTCACCGAAGACTGCACATAAGCTATGTGGTTTTTTCATTTTCATGTGCACAAAGAGCATTTGAATTTCATGCATTTTGGACACCAGGGCATTTCCTGAGGTTCATTTTTTATTAAGTATTCCACACTCTACTATCGTCATTGTCCTGCCACTTGAACTTCTGTGGCATTTTCCTCTCCATTTGCCTTGGCAGGGCCTCGAATTAAAAAAAAAAAAATCCAACAAAAACAGCCAAATAATTTTTACAAATGTGCTTGTTAAAGAGTCAAGAGCTCTGCATGACTGTTTCACGACTATTATCTAGAATTGGATGGTGTCCCTCGAGAGGATAAAGCCTGGTCATTCCGGACAGCTTCTATCCAGGACCTTGTCCTACACTCTCAGTAGAGGAGGCTTTTAAGAAATACTTGAAAGTTAGGAGAAGGTCAGTGCAAAAAGCCTGGGCTCTACGTCCCCTGAGGGCAGGCTGAGACTTCTCCTCACTCACCTCTGCCCACCCAGCCAGTGACCTGCACTTAGAAGCAGCTTGAGAAAAGCTTGCCCAGAAGGGAGTTTGTCTTGAGCGTAAGTTTAACACAGAGAAACAAACAAACCTCTCTTTTCTTTCCTCCAGCAATACCCGTGCCAACTAATACCATTAAGATGATCGAATATATTGAAACCCTGTTTTGTTGGAAGAAGAATGGGGTTGGGATCCAGGATAGAAAAGAGAGGGGGAAAAAAGGAATAAAATTAATCTAAAAAAACCAACAACGGAAAGGGTGGGCACAGACGAAGGCTGATACTGTGCCACAAGCTAAGAATTCAAGCAACTCCTTTTGGATGTCCGTGTTTCCAAAAGATATGTTGAAATTAAAATGAAAACCTTCACTGTCACATCCCCACCTCTCTGAGAAATGTGCTCACGCTCGTCTGTAAAATCGTCCTGGTTCTGGCCAACAGCTGGCAAGTTGATCCCTGCAATTTTCCCTCTGCAGAAATAGCTTTGTGAGGGGAAAAGTGACTCTAATCAGCCCAAAGCGCCAAACGTGGAGGGGCTAAACTGGAAGGGACATTGTGTTAAGGACCTCATGACAACTGTTTCTTCTCCTCCTGAAGACAGCCTGACTTCCTGAAAGAAGATGTGAATGGTCAGACAGCTGTGTTGACCCTTAAGCCTTCTTTGAGTCGTGATTTTTTTTTTAACAAACAGAATAGAAATTCAGAACCTAAATCTTTTCCTACGCTACTATAGTTTTGAGTTCACTCGTGTTGTGCCTGGACAATGTGAACATTTCAGTAATCTATAATCAGAAAGGTAAAGATTGGATCTACACAATCCTAAAACCTTCAGAGGGAAAGCAAGCAATCCACCCAAAGCTTTATCCAAAGGTGAGACTTGCAGTTGTGTGGGCAAAAATCTACCGAATTACCTAAAAATTGCAACTTTCATTCAGACACTGACACTAGAGCAATAAACAGACAACCAAGAACAGATACAGGCCTATCTTTAAAAAAAAAAATCTAACCATAATTACCACTTGGGGGAAAACGGTCATGCGTTTTCACTTCTTCATATTTTTCCTGTGTTGTCCAACTCATCCAAAATCAAACATGTATTTTTACTTTGTGCTGGAAAATGTAAAGTTATCTTTTCAAAGCAAACAGAAACTGCCCAGTACCCTCCTCTCCACATGGGGGTAAACTAGAGTACATTATGGCAAAACAGCACTGAGAAGCAGAAAGAATATTTTGCGTGTGGTCACTAGGTCTCAAAGCTTTGTCAGTTTTTAGTAAACCTGACAGTCCAGGCAGAGCAGAAAAGAAGATATCTCTGTTCTTTCTCCCTGCGTTTTGTTATAGGGCGACGTCTGCACACCCCCTTTCGCTGTGTGTTTTTAATAACATGATAAAAGCGGCCTTTCGTGCACACTCACCCCCTCCCCTTGATTACCCTCGCAGAGTGCTGTCCCTTTCATTCACCAGTGACAAACGCGGAATTCTCCTGCGCGCTCCCGCGCCCGCTCAGCCCACACAGACCAGTCCTGATGCACAAAAGCAGAGGCCTCGGTCTCGGCCGCTTTTCTTTCCTTCAATACCTTGCAGGGGCTCTGCGAAGTCAGTGGCTCTGTTCATTAGCCATTTAGACCAGGAGAGCCGTTCTCTCCTTAGCTGCCTGGCGAGAGCCTGGAAATCCTTCTAGCCCGCTCCCCGGGCTCACCCAGGCTTTAGGCATTCCAGAAACCTAGACTCGGAGTAATCCACTTTCTGCAATACCTGTCGCCTAACTCTCCTCGAAACGCACCGGAACGTGGAACGTTCACGTGGACGGGGAACTGTCCCTGCGGCGTGGCAGAGACGCACGCCGAGGAGAAGGTGGGGAGGAAGCGCAGGATAGCCGCGCAGGCTTCGGAGCAGGCCCCAACTGCGGGCCTAACAGCCCTGCGCCCGAGGGTTTGGAGAAACCGGGAAGGGAGGGAGGACATGGCGAGAGAAAAGGCAAACGGAGGTGTGCACCCAGAACTCCGAGGGGCAGCAGCGTCATTTCTGAGCCCAATCTGTCGGGACCCCAGCCTACAAAGCCAAGCGGGGAAACGGGCGCGCAGGGGACCGAAGCCGTGGGATCAATACAGCCTCGCCGCTGGGCATCAGCGCGTGGGGAGGGGGGGCGCACAGACAGGTGGGTAAAGCAGGGTGGGAACCGGCGAAAAGACAGAGGCCACAGGCAGCCCGCAGGGCACCCCGGAGAAAGGGGATGGGACAAACTTGATGGGGTCGAAGCCCCCCTCCCCGCAGAGGAGCGACCTCTTGGAAAGACCTAGTCGGGGTAGAGGCCTCAGGGACCGAAAAGGAGGGGGGCCGACCACAGAGCGGAGCCCTCGCTCACGCGTCTGCGGGGCGGGCGGTGGTCACAGCGCAGTTCTCTGCCACCCAGGGAAGCGTACAGGATACGGAGAAAGGGCATCATGGGGGCGCCCCTGGAGCCTCCAAAAGCCGCTGCGGGTTGGGGAGGGCAGTCCCCGGCGCCTTGGGGCGCCTGTGTGTGGAGCGCGGGGGCGGCGCGGACACTTACTTCTCGTAGTCGTATTTGCAGTAGAGCTTCTTGTCCCGGTAGAAGCAGGTGGTCTCCAGAGGCTCTTTGCAGGAGGCGCACTGCACGCACTGCTCGTGCCAGAAGCTGTCGTTGAGCCGCAGCAGAAACCTGTCCGAGATCACCCGTTGACAGCCCTCGCAGACGGACTTGGGGCTCACGGCTCTGCCTACAGCAGCAAAAGACATTCGCTGGTGAGCCGCGCCGGTCAGGTATCCCTGCCACCCCGGCCGGACCCGCTCGTGAACATGCACACTCGTGGATGTCCCCCGCGCCCTCACCGGGGGAAGCCCCCTGCTAATCAACCCAGCCGAGATTTGGAGAGAAAAATAAAATCTAGTGGCGCTGCTAATAAACAGGGAAGGATTAAGTTCTAGCGGGGAATACAGAGGAAATCCATACGTGGCCTTTAATTATCAGCGCGACCCGACTTTGAGCGCAAACGTGCGCACATCCTGTAAAATCAAACTACAAATAAATCTGTGCTGCGGTTTTCTCACGGAATCATGAAATCACTCACTGTGCTTGTCTCTGTTGACTGGCTATTCTTAAAACTGGAGTGTGTAAAAAGAATTTGGTTTTGTCTTTTGCTAAAACGCAATTCTGGTTTCTGTTTTGTTTGGGGTTTTTTTTGTTTTTGCTTTTGGCTTTTCTTGAGGGAAAACTTTTCTCTTTTTTTCCTAAAAAGTCCCGTGCGTACAGAAAAATACCATATCACCCCAGGCAAACTCAGGACCACTCAAACCAGTGAACCCCAAACTGCTGCGGCTTGGCCAGTGTGCAAATTGCAGATGGGTTTTTCACAATTAAGAAGCATCACAATGAAGAGACGGAGAAGAAAAAAAAGAGAGAGAGAGAGAGAGAGACAAGAAGCGCGGAGACACCGCGGCGCGGCGCGGCGCGCGGGCCGGGATTCGGGGAAGCCCGCGGGGCTCAACAGCGGCGCAGGAGAGCGACACCGAACCCAAACCGACTCAACGCCAGCAGGGTGCTCCTCTCTGTACTGCCCGTTGGACTCACGTTTTGTCCCTTTAGTTTGCGGGGTGGGGTGCTTTTGGGGGGTGGAAGGACGCTTGGCAGCCTTTGTTGGCACGTCACAGCTTTTTAAAGACGGCCTTGTCCCCCGGTAACAATACCCTTGCGCGTGGTGTCCCAAAGGGCCTGACCCTTCCCCATTACCCCTGTACACTCATGTCGCTTTCCCTGGGGGACCCGGCCACCAGCTCGTGAGCGGGGCCGGTCGCCTCGGGGCAGCGGCGGGGAGGGCTTGGAAGAAGGGCTCTCGGGGTGAACGTTCTGTATTCTTTCTGCCGCGTCTCGCGGTCTGGATGTGCCCGGCGCAGCACAGGGCGACCGCGCCGCCCGCTCCAACCCGAGGTGCGCGCGCCCCGCGCCTGGGCGCTGCCATCCCGGACCCCGCGCTCCTCGGAGCTCCCCCATACCCCCCGGAGTCGGGAAGTTTGCGGAAAGGCGGCTGGAAGAGGGGAACACAGGGAGCACGATTTTGTTTTATCTGGGGAGTTGGGGTGGGGGGAACCTCTCGATATGGTTTCTCCGGCCGAACTGCCTTCTCTCTGCCTTCACTTCGCTCTAGCGGTTCCGAGTGTCGGAAAGAGGCAAGAGGCTTAAAGGACAAAACGAAAACGCCTCCGCTAAAACAATCCCAACACCCGCTCCTCAAACTTGAGAGGCACCCAGGGTGGGGCGGAGCGGGCAGCGGCCCGGCCTCGGCTCCGGAGCCCCGCGTGCGGACACTCTGTCGAGGCCGCGGGCGCGCCGCTCCTCCGCGGTCGCTGCGAGGGGGTTGGGGAACGGGGGGACCGCCGGCCGCAGCTCCGGCTCCACTTCATTCAAGTCGAGGCCAGGGCCCCGCCGCGCGGGCTAATCCCCGCGCGGCGCGGCCCACCTGCGGGGACAAGGCCCCCGGCCGGACGAAAGCCGAGACCGGGCTGAAGTCGGTGGGCGAGCGAAGTCGCCTCGAACCGGGGCGCTCCGAGCCTCGGACACTCGCCCCCACACCGCCGAGAAGAGGCGGCATTTATGAGATGTCGATCCGCTTCCTGATTAAAAAAACGGCCCCGGGCGTGTTTCATCACTTGTCACTCAGACGCCCGCGAGCAGGCTCGCCCGGCCCTCGCGACTTCGGGGAATTCGGTGCCCGGCGCGGGGTGCCGGGGGCGGCCGGTCGGTCTGGGGCGGGAAAGCCCCCAGGGACTGACGGACGGACGGACGGACGGACGGACGGACGGGAGGTGGGGAGCGCAGGCAGAGGGGCGTCAGCTTCCCTGTTTCCCACCGGGTCCCCGCGAGCCGGGCTCCGGAGCCGGGCCTGGCGGACAGCGGGCGCTCCCGGGGCGCGCGGCCTGGGCACTCACCCAGCAGCGAAGAGAAGGAGGCGGAGGTCTCGATGGCGCTTTGGAAGTTCTCCTCCATCTTCAGGCCGTCCAGCATGTTCGGGCCGGGCCGCGAGGACCTGCCGGGGAGAGGAAACCACGCTCCTGGGGTCCGTGGCCTCTGGGCCGCGGCCGCCGCGCTCCCGGGAAGGGCCGGAGGGAGTGTCCAGAGCGACCACCGAGCCGCAGGGAAGAGGCCGGAGCGGAGGGCCGCGGGGCGGAGGGGCGGCGAGCCACCGCGAGCGGCTGCGGCTGGTCTGACTTCACTCGAAGTCCACGCGTTATGTACTTAGGCCTCCGCCCCCCGACTGCGTTCCTCCCTCCCTGCCCCCCACGTCCCCACCCTGTCCCAGCCCGGGGTTCCCGTCGCGGCGCGACTGCGCCCCGCCTCCACCGCTGTGGGCTCTGGGGGCGCCTCCACCGGGACCCCGCTCCGGGGCGGGACGGGTGAAGGGCGGGTGCCCGCCTGGCGGCCGGGCCCTGGCGCGCGGGACCACGAGGGGCAGGAGCGCCGAGCAAGCGGCCGGGACTCGGCGCGCGGCGCGTCCTGCCTCCGCCGGCCGGGCCGGGAACGTCTGCGGGAGCGGAGGAGTCGCCTCGGGGCGGAGCCGCGCCGGCCCTGTGCACTCCTGGCTGCGTTTCAAATCAACTTTCAGAAACGCGCCCGCCCGAGCCGGAGCCCGGCGCCCGCAGCCTCCGCGACCTGACGCGCGAGCTCGCCCCGCGGCCGGAGCCGGACGCAGCCGCGGCCCGGGAGGCGGGGGCCCTCGAGGCTGCGGGAAGCGGCCGCCCGGCTCCTCGGCGCGCGGGCCGGGCCGGGACGTGGCCGCCGGCGCCGGCCTTCTCGGGACGCCCTGCCCGGCGGGTCGCTCCTCTCGGGGAAGGAACGGCCGCTGCTGCTCCGAGGCGGGGCGGGAGGGCGGCGGCCCACGGTCCTGGGTGCGAGTCGGACCCCGGCAGCCGGGGCGGATCTGGCCGCGCCGCCCGGGCCGCGGCTGCGTGCGCGGCGGAGGGAGGGGTGCGGAGCGCGGGGAGCCGAGGGGCCGCCGCGCTCCCGTTCCGAGCCGGCTGCGCGGCCGCCGCCCGGCGCGCCCCTCGTCCGCCGCGACCTCCCGGGCGCGCCAAGTTTCCTCTCTCCACGTGCAGCCGCCACCTCAGGGCGCGCGGCCCTTCGCGGGGCTCCCCGCGCCGCTGGGACCGCAGCGCCCGCACGCCGGTGCCCCGGCCACTCCCCAACCTCTGCCAGTGAGAAAGCGCGCAGCCCTCACCCGGGCCGCAGGGCGCCCCCAGAAGCTACTGGCCGCGTGTGGTTGTGGCCCCTGTAGCCCCGAACTCCTCAAACCCCGTCTTCGTCCCCCACAGGCTCCCCACTCGAGTTCCCAAGTTGGGCTCGGGACCCGTTCACCGTTTCAGATCGAAACCCGCTCACCGATGGGGTGTGCAGATGCCACAGGGACCCCCGCGGAAGCTTGAATCGGGCTCCTGGCGGAGACCAGGTGGGACCTGACCCCAGACGAGGAAACGACAGTGGCATGGAGCAGGAAGTCAGCTAAGGGGACATTCTTACGGACCAAGTGTCTGGGTGGAAATCAGCTCACTGCACCCCTAACCTTAGCTTGCAGTGGTAGACCTTTAGCCCCTCCAGGAGCGGAACAGGGTCTTAAACCCCCCCCCCCCCCCGTGTATCCAGGAGGCCAGCACAGTGCCTGGCCCCAAGTGGACACCAATAAATCACAGGGCTGGCTAACATTTATCAAACATTCACTTTGTGCCCCGCTGGGCTCCACAGTTAACGCATTTAATCTTAACAACAACCCCATGAGGTGGAGACAGTCATCATCCAGCTCTTACAGGTGAGGAAAGCAGGGCTCAGAGTGCACACCTGAATACCCCCAGGAAGGACCAGTTCCCTGGGATTCTAGGGGCCTCTCAGCTCCTGGACTGAAGGCGACTGAATTCGTCGCCAGGCATTTAGGCAAAGTGAACCCGAGCAGGTGAGAATCCACATAGCAAGTGTGTCTTATTACCTTCTCCAAGGGCCAAACCAGGTCCTTATTAAAAAAAAAAAATGGTGCTGCCAGCACTTGCTCCAACGTGCTCAGGCACGGTGCCCGCCCTCACCACTGTGAGTGCGCTCAGGCCACAGGCACAGGCAAAACATTACATATGACTTCAGAAAAACCAGGAAAAAGGGCAAAGAGTTTAATACTGTACATTTGAGGGCTGCTTTATACTTTTCAGGGTCCCTTCACATACATAATTTTGCTTGATCTTTATAACAAACCTGGGAGGTAGGCAGATCAAACAGCTTTAGCCCTTATTTCAGATGACTCTTTGGGGCTTAGCAGGGCTGGGGATTTCTCTGATGTTGCCCAAATGTCTAGTGGCATGTCCCCTGACTCCTGTCCTTTGTGCTTTCTGCCACCCCCAGAAAGAGTAGGGTGTGAAGAAAAAAAAAATGAACTACAAGTACTCTTAAGACACTATCTAAAATAGAAGTTAGGCAAGAAAAACAAAAACGGAGTAGGGCACATACTATCATAAGGAAACATTTTAAATGCTCAGCAGAGTTTGGGTTTCACTAAAGGCCTTGAATTTATGAAATCTGTTTAACCAGTGGTTGAATATTCCTTTTAGAGAATATCCTGAAAGTGGGTAGATGCTCATCTGACCTGGGAGCCAAATTTTTCAAATAGCTCTTGCATCTGGAAGGCAGCCTGAGTAGTGGCCACACAAGTGTTTGGAGGGAATGTCTTTCCCCGGCTGGCCCTTGGACACCTTCAGGAAGGGGACAGTGAGTGATAATCACATTATAAGCCCTGGGGCCCTTGTGCAAAGCCAGGCACACATATGTGATGAGTAAGTACCATTTGCTTAACTGATGGGTGAGTGATGTGCTCACTATAGCGAGGGGACTGCAGTAAAGGTGAAAACTCAGTGGGTCGGAATCAAAGGACCTCAGTTCCATTTCCAGCTCTGCCACTGAGTCAGCTGGGCCATCAGTTCACCTGGGCAACAGTACTTTGTCTCTGAAATGAAGGGTCTGTAACATATGAAACATATGGTCTATAAGACCCTCACAGTCTAAAGTTTGTGGACAGGGGTTTGGGCAGTAGAACCAATGGGTCCTTACCGTGTGCTTTGCAGAATGCGATTGGCTGATGTGTCTAAGTGATGTGCCTAGGCCAATGAAGAGACACCTGTTTATTCAGAGCTTTTATGATCTATCTGACCTCTCCCAGGGAACTGGGGCTGCTGAGTGCCACTGCTGCCCCCGTGTCACTTCACGTCAGCTGTAGCCAACCCTGTGACACGGATGGGTTGGCAGGCATCATTCCATCTGCAAAAATTTCTCCTGCTCATGCCTCGTGGGTTTCCATTGCAAACCCAAACACGGTTATTTTACCTTTTTAATGAAAAGAAGATGCCACAGAGCCTCTGTCCAGAAGCCCTTTAGGAAAACTAAGCTGCACTCTCCCTTTTATCAGAAAGAAGCCCTTTCCTGAGAATTTGTGGAAGTGAGATTAATAGGCAACAGAAGAAACCCCCAAAATGACAGACTTTTTAGAGTTAGCAGTGATCTTAAAGCTCATCTGGTCCAACTATTTAGTTGCTAGTCGGTCAAGATTCGTTTTCCTGAATTTTGGTCCAGTGATTTTGGTCCACCTCTGGTCCACTGATTCCTAAGGGCTGGTCGCTCAGTGGCAATTCCTCCTTTCAAGGCCTGTCCGATGCGGGCTGGCCTGCCCTCTCCGTCCTGTTCACCTTCCCCTGAAGCTGCCCCGGTTTTTCTCATCTCTCATACATTTTGGCTGCAACTTTCCAGTGACGGCCTCCCCCCCACCATCAACATGGCCTGCTTTTCTGTTACCATTTTCAGCAGCTGCTGTTGACTCCTACTGGATGTGTCACTAACAAAACCTCTTTGGTGCTTTTTCGCACGGGTTGCTGTAAGCCGCGGCTTCCCCAAATTGCAATTGTACGTTTGGCATTTGGCCCCCACATGTGGATACTTCTATTTATCCCTGCTAAGGGATCAGCAGCTGTTCCAAACATAGGGAATCTCAGAACTACAAGCAGACTCCAAGCAACCCAGGAACTATGTCTCAAGCCTGGTGCTTCACTTCGAGGAGAAAATGTGGGGACCCTGCCAGGCCTGGGAGCCGCCATCACTGGAGGAAGACAGGGCCAGCGAAGGGGGAGGCACTGTGGGGTCCCAAGAGGGTGTCAGGGACCTTGTAACCTGGAGGTACCTCTTCATGTGGGGGGTGCCCTGGTCCTTTTCAGCTCCCTCCAGTTATCCGTCTTCAGTCCAGCAGCAACCACGGAAGATGGGGCGAAAGGTGCAGACCAGCCATGGAGCCAACGCTTTCTGTGGCAGAAAACACAGAAGAAACACGATGAGGCTCCTGAGGCTTTGTGGCTGAGATTTGGGGAGCGGCGTGGGGATGGAAGAGTCAGAGACGGATGCTCGGTGGGAGGGAGGCAGCGAGGGCGGGGGAAGGACATCCTGCTACAGAGTGGAGATGACAGGAACATGTTTTTTTACTTTCCTTTTCTTGCTCTCATTTCTGTGTTTTATTAAGGGAAACACAAAGGGAAAATTGTGTTATTTGTTAAAAAATGTCAAAGTGCATTTCAAGCGAGAGGAAAAAAAGCAGACGCACTGCTGCCTAGACAGAGAAGGCCGTCCTCTAACGGGGCGGCCAGAGGCTAGGGTTGTGGGGGACATACTGGAACCACAGGCTCTCCTGACCTCTGGGTTCTCCTCCCAGGAAGCCCTGGTCCTACCTGGGCATTCAGGTCTCTCAAGGGGCTCTGCGCTTTCTGGGGTGAAAGGGGGCATCCCTAACCAGCTGCCGGAAGAGGAACGAAATCATGGATCGTGCCCTGGGCACGGCCACGCTCTCTCACCAACTGGGCAAGGACGGCCCTGGCACAGAGGACGCTGGTCCAGGCTAACACAGGCACCGTCTTAAAGCTCATGTCCTTTGGGTGTTGCCACAGAGCCACCTACGTGCCCACTGAGCTCCCTGCTGGACTGTGAGCGCCTGCAGAAAAGGGTCCACGTGAGAGTCACCTGTGCCTCTCCTGTACCCGGCACAGCTTTACGCACCAGAGACCCAGGTATACTTGATGACTAAGTGGAGAGTACCCCACAGCATCACAGGTACGCTGGGAAGAGAGGGGTCCGAGTTCACATCCCACAGCGACGTTTGTCAACTGCCTAAGTGTGAGTCACCAACCTCTGTATGTCCCACTTTCCTGTGCAAGGGAAGGAAGAACATCCCTTAGGAGTTATCAGAGATGACGGATGTGAAACATCTAATAATCTCTCTGGTTAACTTAATGTCCAAACATCCCTCAGGTCCCTCTCTCATCTCCCCAAGGTGACTGGATACACTTTCTGAAGGAAATTTGTCTTGGCTGGGAGGGTGGCACTGCAGGAGGGTCAGAGGAGGGGTCCCGGGTCACACAGGCCTGGGGCTGCTTGTGGACTCTGCCACTTGAGGGACTTGGGAACTTCCTTAATCTCTCCCAGCCTGTTTCCCCCATTGAATAAACTGAAGGAATAACTGGGGTGTTTCTGTGCACGTTAAATGAAATAATGCATACAAAATATCCGGCACGGTGATCGGCACATAGTGAGATTCAATGAATTTTAGGTGCCGTCGCCATCATCATCATCATCATCATCATCAGACAAGCCCCTTAGGACCATGTTTTATTTCCATTTGTGGCCCCAGTCCCTAGCACTTAGGTGTAGGCATCCAGAAAATGTGATTTGAATTAAACTGAACTGAACTGGACCAAAGTCCATCTTGGCACTGAGTGAGGTTTGGGTGGTGTCTGGCTCTGGGTTCCCGCCACAAGCTGAAAAGGTATTTCTTTTGGAGCAATCCCACGTGCTCTGTCACAGGCCCCGGGTTGCAGCCTCCCCGTGTGAGCGTCTCACCCCCGGGCTCCCACCAGCCCTGTGTTTGACATCTGCCTGTGACAATTCACACGAAACTCCAGGAAGCTGGAAATAACAAGGAGCGCGATGTGTGAGGAGGTGAAGCCTCTCTCCATCCTGGGCCTGAGGCACTGACTCGCGCCCAGCACACCTGAATGGCACGCAGTGAATGTGTAGGCAGGTTAGGAGGAGGTGCCTGGACACGAGGCCCAGGGGAACAGCTGGGGACCTGGCTAAGACCTTCGCAGTACTGGGGTGTCAGTGCTGGGGCGCAGCAGCTCTG